ATTCTTGGCCATAAAGCAAGTTTTAATACATTTTAAAAAAATCAAAATCATATCAAATATCTTCTTGGACCAGGGTGGAATAAAATTAGAAATCAATGCCAAGAGGAAATCTCAAAACTATACAAATACATGGAAATTAAACAACTTGCTCCTGAATGATCTTTGAGTAAACAATGAAATTAAGGCAGAAATCAATAAAAAATTTTGAAACTAGAGACACAACAAACCAGAACCTCTGGGATACAGCAAAAGCAGTTCTAAGAGGAAAGTTTATAGTGTTAAATGCCTACATTAAAGAGACAGGAAGATCTCAAATTAACAACCTAACATTGTACCTTAAAAAAAAAACAAACAAACAAAAAACCCTAGAAAAACAAAAACAAACAAAACCTAAAGCTAGCAGAGAAAACAAATAACAAAGATCAAAGCAGAACTAAATGAGATGGAGACCAAAAGAATGATACAAAGGAGCAAAAAATGAAAAATTGGCTCTTTGAAAAGATAAAAAATATTGATAGACTGCTGGTTAGAATAACCATGAATAAAAGAGACAATTCAAATAAATGCAATCGGAAATAACAGGGACATTACATACCTGCCACTTGGGTTGATTTCATGACTTCGTCTTTGGAATAGTGCTGTGATAAACATATGAATGCAGGCGTCTTTTCAATATAATGACTTCTTTTCCTTTGGGTGGTGATATGATTTGGTTCTGTATCCCTACCCAAATCTCACCTGTAGCTCCCATAATTCCCATGTGTTGTGGAAGGGACCCAGTAGGAGATGATTGAATTGTGGGGGCGGGTCTTTCCCATGCCGTTCTTGTGATAGTAAATGGGTCTCATGAGACCCGATCGGTTTTTAAATGGGAATTTCTCTACACAAGCTCTCCCTCTGCCTACTGCCATCCACGCAAGATGTGACTTGCTCCTCCTTGCCTTCTGCCATGATTGTGAGGCCCCTCCAGCCAGGTGGAACTGTAAGTCCAATAAATCTCTTTCTTTTGTAAAATGCCCAGTCTTGGGTATGTCTTTATCAGTGGCGTGAAAATGGATTAATATAGTAAATTAGTACCAGTTAGAATGAGTCACTGCTGAAAAGATACCTGAAAATGTGGAAGTGACTTTGGAACTGGGTAACAGGCAGAGGTTGGAACCATTTGGAAGGCTCAGAAGAAGACAGGAAGATGTGGGAAAGTTTGGAACTTCCTAGAGACTTGTTGAATGGTTTTGACCAAAATGCTGATAGTGATATGAACAATAAGGTCCAGGCTGAGGTGGTCTCAGATGGGGATGAAGAACTTTTTGGGAACTGGAGTAAAGGTGACTCTTGCTATGTTTTATCTAAGAGACTGGTGGCATTTTGCCCCTGCCCTAGAGATGTGTGGAACTTTGAACTTGAGAGAGATGATTTAGGACATCTGGATGCTGGGAATGAAGTTTTTGGTGTCACAAAAACAAAACAAAACAAAACAAAAACGTGGGAACAAATGATCTCTCAGCCAGGTGAGCTTTACTTTCTGCAGAAAGGGTGCTACCCAATAGCTGTCCAGCCACAAGAGCACACCAAACAAAGGAGACACAGTAATTTATAACCTGACACGTCTACCCCACTGCTGTGTCCAGTTTTCACTGGCTGGAATAGGACCTCACATTTTACACTTTACCCGATTGGTTATTAGTTTAAACTTTCTTAATTAGGTGAGGGGACTAGAACAAAGAAAGAAAAGGAAGTTGCTCAGGGATAGTTAAGGAAGCATCTCCAAATAAGGAGTGGCATGCACTATGGGCTGGGGCTTGTCTACTTCTGTCCAGGCGTGCCAGAGCAAGCTAGGACAGCTGATTTATATATATCAGGAATATATATATATATATAGTGGATAGCAATCTTATTGTAAGAAAATGTGACTTTTTATAATCTTTGAAGAACTTTCCCATTTCTCACATGGAGGAAGAAATTTCTAAGCAGCAAAGCACTCAAGAGGTGACTTGGGTTGTTTTATAAAAGAAGCAGAGCATAAAAGTTTGGAAAATTTGCAGCCTGACAATGTGATAGAAAGAAAAACCTATTTTCTGAGGAGAAATTGAAGCTGGCTGCAGAAACTTGCATAAGTAATGAGGAGATGAATGTTAATCTCCAAGACAATGGGGAAAATGTAAGTTTTTCACCGGAGCCCCTCCCATCACAGGCTTTGAGGTCTAGGAGAAAATGATTTCCTAGGCCAGGCCCAGGTTCTATTAGGCATACAGATACGTAACAAGTTAGTCATGTGTGGGAATTAATAAATGAAGAAATTGTACTTGTAAATGCGTCATATGTTCACATATCTAAGGTCAGTTTTCTTATTTTAAAAATAGAAGCAATGCCAGCTCCACAAGAATGGTTTTGAATATTAAATACATGAAAGGACTTTGGAAGCTATGAAGTACAACACAAATGTACAATAATAATAATAAATAATGTCACTGTAGAGAACTAGCCCTTTTCTCTCCCTAAGGCTTTTTTCTCAGGGGACTGGTGGAACAGAGGCTGACTTCATAGATAGAGAAATATCTAATTTTTTTTTTCTTACTATTGTTTTCTTTTTTTTAAATTCATTTTATTTTTTATTATTATTATACTTTAAGTTCTAGGGTACATGTGCATAACGTGCAGGTTTGTTACATATGTATACTTGTGCCATGTTGCTGTGCTGCACCCATCAACTCGTCAGCACCCATCAACTCATCATTTACATCAGGTATAATTCCCAATGCAATCCCTCCCCTCTCCCCGCTCCCCATGATAGGCCCTGGTGTGTGATGTTCCCCTTCCCGAGTCCAAGTGATCTCATTGTTCAGTTCCCACCTATGAGTGAGAACATGCGGTGTTTGGTTTTCTGTTCTTGTGATAGTTTGCTAAGAATGATGGTTTCCAGCTGCATCCATGTCCCTATAAAGGACACAAACTCATCCTTTTTTATGACTGCATAGTATTCCATGGTGTATATGTGCCACATTTTCTTAATCCAGTCTGTCACTGATGGACATTTGGGTTGATTCCAAGTCTTTGCTATTGTGAATAGTGCCGCAATAAACATACGTGTGCATGTGTCTTTATAGCAGCATGAGTTATAATCCTTTGGGTATATCCCCAGTAATGGGATGGCTGGGTCATATGGTACATCTAGTTCTAGATCCTTGAGGAATCACCATACTGTTTTCCAATCAGAGAAATGCAAATCAAAACCACAATGAGATACCATCTCACACCAGTTAGAATGGCGATCATTAAAAAGTCAGGAAACAACAGGTGCTGAGAGGATGTGGAGAAATAGGAACACTTTTACACTGTTGGTGGGATTGTAAACTAGTTCAGCCATTATGGAAAAATATCTAATTTCTACAAAGAGGAGCTCTTTGAAAAAAAACAAAGCAAAGGAAACAAACCAAACAGAAACACTCAAATCCAAGAGGATAGCTCAGGGCTTTTTAATATAATTCTTATCTTGCCCTACTTAGGAACAGGTTTTTAACAGAATATTGATACAACTAAAGAACAACAGAGTTAATACACATAGCATTTACACCATTTGAGGTATTTGGCTATGCTAGGTTTTTTTTTTTTTTCTTTCTTTTCCCTCAGTGGAACCACACATTGAGAGATACAGCTTTAGAACACAATATTCTATCAAAATTGGAAAACAGATTTTTATTTGACAACATCAGATATGCAGTGATTCTTTTTTTCAATGTCATTTCTTTCACTTACACCTTCAGTTTATTAAGCCTCTGATTCTCAATTAGAATAAGTTCCCTAAGTCCCTGTCATAAATAGAATTGTATCAACCTTCCACATCTCAGCCACATTGAGTTCTAATAAGTGTGCAACAGTAAGACAGCTGAGCATGGAATGGCAATCGGAAAAATATTATACATTGCTTTTTGCCTATTTTAAAATTGAGCAATAAAAGGTATTTATTATTTTGCCATATAAGGTGCTGAGTTCAGGAACATTTTCATGGGAATCAGGTTTTTCCCTCAGGTGTTTGCCTAGTATACTTCACAACTACTATTGATTCCTTTACAAAGTTGATCCATGAATATTTATTGATGGAAGAGGTCTTAGTGGTCATCTTGTACTAGCCATTTATTTTGTAGCTAAAGAAATCTCCTATGCTAGGTGTTTTTATTTAGTTCATTTATTAGTATTACTAGTGGTAAGTAGTTATCTTATTAATTTGTGAACTTTTACTATACATATTGAATAACAAGTTAATAATTTTCTAAAAATTTATTAATTTTATTATATAAATTTGGAAGCACCCAGATTCCTCTACCACAACTAATTAAAATTCTGGCATTTATTAGCCCTCAGTGGCAGAATATTACAGCAAGTCTTTAATGAAATATTGAACATGAATTCTAAATAATAAGTTTGCATCCTAGCAGGATGTACAGGTACCACTTAAACCATTCCCAAAACCACAAAGACAAATAATAATATCAGATACCTTAATATCACCTGGAAAATACCACTACCACCAATAACAACTATGATAGTAACAGTAAAAACAAAAAAATACAAATTTTATTCAATGGTTGTTCTGAACTTGGAATGACCTTAAGCACCTTACTATTTAAAGCACAGAGACGGAAACACGTTTAGAAAATGAAAATTCCCTCCTTTATTAGAATAACATGGTGAAATCTTAAGATTAATTAGACTGGTCAAATGTTTTTCAGAGTTTTTCTTGTCATGTCTTTATCTGTTCTTAGTGTCAAAGAGCCCACCTTACATGTTTTTTGTTTCTTTGTTTTACAAATTTAAATTTACTGAATAAGTATAGGAGAGAAGGGAATAAAAAACATCCCAATGGTGGTTTGCATATCTTCTTCCTTGTTAAAACTCAGTGTTTTACTTTTTTTTTTTTTGGTCTGTCTTTTTTGTATTACACTTTTGGCTTATATTGGTGATACATCTTTTTCCTCCTCTTTCTACTCTTATTTTCCCTCTTCCTACATCTTTTCTTTTTGTGTTTCCTCCTCTTCCTTCTTCTCCTCGTCTTCCTCCTCCTCCTCCTCCTCCTCCTCCTCCTCTTCCTCCTCTCTCTCTTCTTTTTCCTCCTCCATTTCCATTATTTCCATTTCGATTTCCTCTTTCTCTTTCTTCTCTTTCTCTTTCTTCTCTTTCTCTTTTTCCTCCTCTTGATTCTCTGCTTCAGATTCCTCAGGGGTAAATATCATTTGTTGTTCCAACAAGATATTTGGAAACTGAGACTGTACTATCAAAACAGTTATGACACACAGCATAAAACATATTATTCTCAATAATAAAATGAATGTACACAGTGGATCACATAGAATTGGCCGGGGCGTTTCCCATTTTGGATACCAAAATCGGTAATCTGTAAACAAAGAAGCAATTGAAAGCTGGATTTCACATAAAGTAGTTAAATTGTTCAAGAAATAAAGGACAACAATACATACATATGGCTTGGTCACGATCTGCATTACCTAGAAAGAAAAAGAAAGTCCATAAAAAATTAGATAAAATTTCTTTTCTAAAAAATAAGAAAATCTCTCAATAATAGTGTCACTTTCTCCTAGCTCTCAGGCATTATCTTTGATGTCCTCCCTCCAACCACTAGCCAATTTTAAGTACAATATATTCTCTTTAATGAAATCAGCCTGGTTTGTTACAGAAAGTATGGAAATACATGAGTAAGGAGATATGCATTCTAGTGCTAATTCTGTCTTTACATCATTGACCTTACGTAAGTTTTCCACTTCTGCCCTTAAAATATTGTTCCAGCTCCAACATTCTAGGATTCTATAATATCTCTTATTTTCATCTCTCTTTCTCCCCACAGATCACTCCTAATTAATCTTAGAAATCTATTCACTTTCCTCATTTAATTATTATTTTCAGAAGCTTTCAGTTGCTCTTAATTTCCCAGATGGCAAAGTTAGCTCTATAGCCTGGCATTCAATATTTTTAGTTAACTAGTCCAATGAGATAATAATAGTTTTTAGGAAATAAATTCCCTTTCTTCTGCTCATTTGGGTTGAGAGATGTATCAGTCCATTTTTCACACTGCTATAAAGAACTACCTGAGACTGGGTAATTTACAAAGAAAAGAGGTTTTTCCTGTAGTCTCAGATACTTGGGAGGCTGAGGCAGGATAATCACTTAAACCTGGGAGGCGGAGTTTGCAGTGAACCAAGATTGCGCCACTACACTCCAGCCTGGCGACAGAGCAAGACTCTGTCTTAAAAAAAAAAAAAGAGATAGAGAGAAAAGGTTTAATTGACTCATAGTTCTGCATGGATGGGCAGGCTTTGGGAAATTTAAAATCATGGTGGAAGGTGAAGGGGAAACAAGGTACGTCTTACATGGTGGCAGGAGGGAGAGTGAGGGGAGAACTGCCAAACACTTTTAAACCACCAGATCTTATGGGAATTCACTCACTATCATGAGAACAGCATGGGGGAAACTGTCCTCATGATCCAATCACCTCCCACCAGGTCCCTCCCTCAGCACTTAGAGATAACCATTTGAGATGATATTTGAGTAGGAACACAGAGCCAAACCATATCATTCTGCCCCAGCCCCTTCCAAATCTCATGTCCTTCTCACATTTCAAAACACAATCATGCCTTCCCAAGGGTCCCTCAAAGTCTAAACTCATTCCAGCATTCACCCAAAAGTCCAAGTTCAAAGTCTCACCTGAGACAAGACAAGTCCCTTCCATCTATAAGCTTGTAAAATCAAAAGCAAGTTGGTTACTTCTAAGATACAATTGGGCAAATGCTCCCATTCCAAGTGGGAGAAATTGGCCAAAACAAAGGGGCTACAGGCCCCATACAAGTTCAAAACCCAACAGGACAGTCATTAAATCTTAAAGCTCCAAAATAGTCTCCTTTGGCTCCATGTCTCACATCCAGGGCATGCTGAAGCAAAGGGTAGACTCCCAAGGACGTGGGAAGCTCTGCCCCTGTGGCTCTGAAGGGTTCAGGCCCTGTGGCTGCTTTCACAGGCTGGCATGGACTACCTGTGGCTTTTCCAGGCACATGGTGCAAGTTGTCATTCTGGGATCTGGAGGATGGTGGCCTTCCTCTCACAGCTCTATTATGCAGTGCCCCAGTAGGGACTCTATGTGGGGGCCCCAACTCCACATTTCCCCCTCTGCATTGCCCTAGTAGAGGTTCTCCATGAGGGCTCCACCCCTGCAGCAGACTTCTGCCTGGACATCCAGGTGTTTCCATACATCCTCTGAAATCTATGCAAAGGCTCCCAAAGCTCAATTCTGTCATCTATGGACCTGCAAGCCTAACAACACATGGATGCTGCCGAGGTGCTACCAAGGCTTGGGGCTTGCATCCTTTAAAGCAATGGCCTGAGCTGTACCGTTGTCCCTTTGAGCCATAGCTTAAGCTGGAATGGCTGGGAGGCAGGGCACCATGTCCCAAGGCTACACAGAGCAGCAGGGACCTGGGCCTGACCCATGAAACAATTTTTCCCTCCTAGGCCTCTGGGCCTGTGATGGGAGAGGCTGCCATGAAGATCTCTGAAATATCCTGGAGACAGTTTTCCCATTGTCTTGGCGATTAACATTTTGGCTCCTCGTTACTTATGCAAATTTTTGCAGCCAGCTTGAATTTCTCCCCAGAAAAAAAAAAAAAAAAAATATATATGTATATATATATATATTCGACCACATGGCCAGGCTGCAAATTTTCCAAACTTTTATGCTCTGCTTCCCTTTTAAACATAAGTTTTAATTTCAGATCATCTCTTTATCAATGCATAAGACTATATGCTTTTAGAAACAGCCAGGTCACATTTTGAGTGCTTTTCTGCTTAGAAATTTCTCCTGCCAGATACCCTATATCATCTCTCTCAAGTTCAAAGTTCCACAGATTGCTAGGGCATGAGTAAAAATGCCACCAGCCTCTTTGCTAAAGCATAGCAAGAATGATCTTCATTCCAGTTCCCAACAAGTTTCCCATCTCCATCTGAGACCACCTCAGCTTGGACTTCATTGTCCATATCACTATCAGCATTTTGGTCAAAACTATTCAACAAGACTCTAGGAAGTTCCAAACTTTCCCACATCTTCCTGTCTTCTTCTGGGCCCTCCAAATGGTTCCAACCTCTGCCTGTTACCCAGTTCCAAAGTTGCTTCTACATTTTCAGGTATCTTTTCAGCAATGCCTCACTATAACTGGTACCAATTTCATGTATTAGTTGATTTTCACACTGCTAAAAAGAACTACCTGAGACTGGGTAATTTATAAAGAAAGGAGGTTTAATTGACTCACAGTTCTGCATGGCTGGAGAGGCCTCAGGAAACTTACAATCATGACAGAGGGTGAAGGGGAAGCAAGGCACATCTTACATGGTGGCAGGAGAGGCAGGGGGCAACTGCCAAACACTTTAAACCATCAGATCTCATGAGAACTCACTCAATATCATGAGAACATCATGAGAGAAACTGCTCCCCTGATCCAATTACCTCCCATCAGGTCCCTCCCTCAACATGTGGGGATTATAATTCAAGATGATATTTGGGTGGGGACACAGAGCTAAACAATATCATGATGGTCAGATAACCAATCCTGAATTCCACTAGGAAGCACAGTGGAAGGATAAATGAGTTCTCATACATAGAGAACCCAATAGCAACAAAGAACTTTGTCTTGCAACAGGAAAATTTAGAACTCATTATTCAGGCACCTTAGAGATGAACTGACCTTCCTTTGGATCTCTGCGGTTATTTTAGCCTTTTGCGCTTGGTCTTACTTCATATTTTATGTAATGATTTCTATTTAGATTGTCTTTCAAAAAGTCTTCATCACATAGTTTGTATTGTTCATCAGCTTTAAATAGTCTAGTATCTTCGGCCCTTAGCTATAAATGATGAGGAAATAAGCATATTTTTTCTCTCTCTCTTCTCCTCCCAAGTTTTATTAATTGTATCATTTGCATGTTTCCAATATTTCTTGTATTTTTTTTTTGTAACTATAACTCTCAGATTATTTTAGTCTTAGTCTATCTATTAAGATTCAGGGCTCACAGAGAGTTCTTTCACTCAAGTTTTTTCATTCCTCTCTTCTTTTTGGTGAATGTCATCCTCTAGTTTACTGAAGAAGTGCTCATGAGAACTATACACCAAATGTAACTGCATGCTCCCAAAACATCTGTCTATTTGATTACACTTGAATAATAGGTTTTGCTGTATATAAATTCTTGGTTGACACTTCTTATATTAAGGGCATATAGGCATCATGCAACCATCTCTTAGCATTTACTGTTATGGTAGAGAAGTTTGAAGCCAGACTGAATTTTCCCCCTTTATGTGGGAATATCAGTTGCCCAAGCAGCATTACTACCATATCAGTGTGAAGTCAATTTTGTATTGTAGAGCTGAAACCAGGAAGTACAGTTCTGTGAATTATTTTCTCTGCATAGCTTCAGGCAAGAGTTTGCCAATGACAGGAATGCAAATGAAATAGGAAAGACATAAGAAAAGCAACCACCAGGGGTGATGGTAGGCCAGGTAAGATGGATCAATGTGAGTTTCACAGTGGCTTCTTAGTATAATACAATATAGAACTCTCAGCTTTGTTGCCACTTCTCTGCCTTACTGTGGCCACTTCCCTGACCTTCACTCCCTTAGTGTTTACAGTATTCAGGTAAACTGAATTTCCTATGTTAAACACTTTATTGCTAAAATACTTAGAGTGACTATTTTTCTGCTTCAATCCAGACCGTTAAACTTCTTAATAACTGATCTTACATTTTTGCTTGGATACTTTAAGATTCTTTCTTTTTCACTAACGTCCAGTAACTTACTAGGCTATGTCTACTGTGTTGACTATTTTGTATCACTTTTTCCCGGCACATAGTGTGCACTTTCAATGTTTAGATTCAGGTATTTTTATTTCTGTGAAATTTGTTTTATTACTTAAGTATCTATATATCTCTCTCTAGTTGTATTTTCTGTTCTATTGTTTTGGTTCTGTTCTTGAGGCCCTACAATTATTCACATGTTGAAACTGAGTCCACAGTTATAGTTTTATCTGTGTATATATACACATTTATATACGTTTATTAAAATTCTTAATTTCCAACACTTATAATTCCAATTCACCACCATAAGATTCATGCTTGCTTTTTTCCTTTACATATTTGTATTCCATTTCTGACAGCAAGAAACTAGCCCCCATTATACTTAATTTTTTTTATCATTCCCCCACTATGCTTCCAATCTCCCATCACTGTCTCTAGCTCCTAGCACACATATGTGCCCCCCTCACTCTGCTTAGACTTAGACACTCAGATTTAGCAAATAAAAACAAATGATGTCAGGTTACATTTGAATCTCAGAAAGCAATATTGTTTTACTATAAGTCTGACCAATGTAATATTTGGAGTATGTTTATGCTGAGAAATTGTCTTGTATTAATCGGCCAACTTAGGGGCTGACCCTACGCTGGGACACCCTCCCACCCTGCTCAGACTTTGAAACCCAGCTCTGGGCTTCTGTGTGTGGATTCCTTCCTTACCCGACTTGGGCCCTGACTTCACCCATGTCAAGTCATCTTCTCCACATTAAAACTTTCCTCACCTAATTTGCACTCAGAAACCTCATGTGTGATTGCCCCTAAGTACGGATGCCCCCTTTACTGGCTTAGGTTCGAAATCTCTTCTCAGCCCACTCCAATATGGACTCTTCTCCTTATTCTTCTTGGCCTCCAACAACCACTGCCAGACCATCCCTCCAGGGATGCCTTCCTCACTGGCTCAGACTCTCCCTTCCATCCCATGTTGATGCTCTCCTCACCTTGCCTGGGCACAGATGCCACATACTGAGTCATCCTTGCATGGACATCATTTTATTCTGCTCTGGCTCTGATACCCCAAACCAGACCTCATATATGGACAGTTACTTCATTCCATGAGGGATCTGACTTCCCACACGTGGCCACATCTCTATGTGGACAGCATCCTCACCTTGCTTAGGTTTCCTTTCCATGCCCACTGCATCTCGTGTGGATCCTCTGTTATGCTGTTTAGGTTGTAACACATCACCTCTGGATGCCCCTCTGTGTAGATGACTACATTCCCCTGACCTGCTCAATGACTTTAGGATTGAATTTTTCAGAGAAAGAAAGACAACGAAAAGAGGAAGAACAAGAGTTTGCATCTTGATTCAACTGAAGCAACAGCAGAGATGTTAGGGTGGAATCATCCCTGAAATGCTGTTATAGTAAAACTGTCCACTAGTTTTTGTTTCTGTTTTTTCTTCAGCACAAAAATATCATATATTTGGGAGGGTGAGGTAGGAGGACCACTTGAGGCCAGGAGTTTGAGACCAACCCGGGCAACACAACAAGATCCTGTCTCTGCAAAAAATAAAAAAAAAAAATTAGCTGGGCATGGTGGCACATGCCTGCAGTTTTAGCTACTTGGGAAGCTGAGGCAGGAAGATTACCTGAGCCCAGGAATTCAACGTTACAGTGAGCTATGATCAAGCCACTGCATTCCAGCCTGTGTGACAGAAAGAAAGACCCTGTCTCTTTTCCAGAATCTACAAAGAACTTAAACAAATTTACAAGAAAAAAGCTAACAATCCCATTAAAAAGTGGGAGAAGGATATGAACAGACACTTCTCAAAAGAAGACATTTATGCATCCAACAAACATATGAAAAAAAGCTCATCATCACTGGTCATTGGAGAAATGCAAATCAAAACCACAATGAGATACCATCTCACGCGAGTTAGAATGGCAGTCATTAAAAAGTCAGGAAACCACAGATGCTGGAGAGGATGTGGAGAAATAGGAACACTTTTACACTGTTGGTGGGAGTGTAAACTAGTTCAACCACTGTGGAAGACAGTGTGGCGATTCCTCAAGGATCTTGAACCAAAAATACCATTTGACCCAGTAATCCCATTACTGGGTACATACCCAAAGAATTATAAATCATTCTACTATAAAGATACCTGCGCACGTATGTTTATTGTAACACTATTCACAATAGCAAAGACTTGGAACCAACCCAAATGCCTGTCAATGATAAACTGGATAAAGAAAATGTGGCATATATACACCATGGAATACTATGCAGTCATAAAAAAGGATTAGTTCATTTCCTTTTCAGGGACATGGAAAAAGCTGGAAACCATCATTCTCAGCAAACTATCATGAGAACATAAAACCAAACACCACATGTTCTCACTCATAAGTGGGAGTTGAACAATGAGAACACCTGGACACAGGGAGAAGAACATCACACATCAGGGTCTGTTGGGGGGTCGGGGGCTAGGGGAGGGATAGCATTAGGAGAAATACCTGATGTAGATGATGGGTTGATGGGTGCAGCAAACCACCATGGCACATGTATACCTATGTAACAAACCTGCATGTTCTGCACATGTACCCCAGAACTTAAAGTATAATAATTATAAAACAACATAATATGCTATTTACTTATTATCCTAATTTATCTCCTCCCATATTCCTAAGCATTGTATACTTTAGCTATAGTTATACTTTTGGAGTATATTCTTTCATGTGGAAAAACTAAAAGAAAAATGTAATCAAACATATTTTCTACTTTTTACTTTCTAAATATTTGGACATTTCAGCTTTTTGGAGGAAAAACTAAAGGAAAAGGGTATTAAATATATGCTACTTCATAAATATTTTGGAATATACTGTCCTTTAAAGCAGTTATTATCAAACAGTCTGCTGTTTGGGAATAAACTGTGAAGCTTTATCAGGGTAAAACTGTTAGTTCTCATTCCTTCTTTCGGACACTCTGGTATGTCCTCAGGGGAAGGAATAGGGTTAAGATAGAATAGAAAAGGCTCTATAGTTTAGAAAAATCTAAAGATAATACTGTGTCAACCATCCTTTGATAATATAATAGTAGCATTCTGATCAAAGGAATAATATTAACATGACAATAAAAAAACTAGTGTTCAATCACTTATTTTTCTTGTTGTCCAATCCATTATGCATTTTTTTCATGTTTAAGTTATTTTCTTTATCTTACTGCATAGAAAATCTGTGCATTTGTCATGTCTGCCACATCGAGTACAAAATATTCCTGGTTCATAAGGTCTTCTTGTCAGCGTTCCTCTATAAACAAAAAAGCAGAAAACATTTAGTTAGAATAAGCTTCAATTTTTACATGTAATTTAAATAATATAGTTACTAATATTTAATCAGGTTAAAAACGTGAGTTAAGAAACTAGATTTAAGGAAATACTTTAATTAGAGATTCAATGCTTCCCTTTTGTTCTCCCCCAGGAAACAGTCTTTTCTGAAACGAATTCCCATGCCCTAGAAACAAAGTATTATAATTAACTATAAGAATGGGGTTTAAAGCTTCTTTCATTTTAGTTTATAGCAAAATGTATCCTTTAAAAATGAATGATGTAGGCTGGGTGGGGTAGCTCCCTCACCTGTAATACTGGTGCTTTGGGAGGCCAATGTAGGATAATCTCTTGAGACCACGAGTTCGAGACCAGCCTGGGTAACAGAGCAAGACCTCGTCTCTTCAAAAACATATTTTTTTAAATTAGCCAGGCATGGTGCGTGCCTATAGTCCCAGCTACTCAGGATACTGAGGAAGGAAGATAAGTTGAGTCCAGGAGTTTGCGGTTGCAGTGAGCTATGACTGTGCCACTGCACTCTAGCCTGGGCAACAGAGCAAGGCTTTGTCTCTAAAATAAATAAATAAATAAATAAATAAATAAATAAATAAATAAATAAATAAATGTCTATAGAATGTTTTATAATTAATTGCTTCCTGGTTGGCCCAAATACATAAAAAGTTTTATAAAAATGATATATTAAGTTATCTATAAAGTTTACAAAATTCTGAAATGCTTATGTCCCAAAGACTCATCTGCATGAATTATTTTGGGGGTGTATATAAAAACACATAAATTTATAAAGAAGCAAATAAATATAAATGGGAATTTACAAAGTTGATTCAACCTACTGTACAGAGCTGAAGAGAGAAGTAAGAAATAATTACATCAATTGCCTAGAGCTAAATGAGAAAAAAGGCCCTAAAGTACTTTTAAATCAGGAAATTTAAATAAATGATCTAGCATAAGAAAGGTAGAGAAAACAAGCAGGGAAAAGATACTTTTGAGTGGGGGCAATGTCATTAATTCTGGTAATTTAATCAGGATTGCCTATTTACCTGGTACATAATTTGTAGCTATAAAAACAAACATTCGTTTTTTAAGTCCTTGGTTAGGCCTTATTAGGCCTTCAGGAAGAATGGCCAAGCCTAAGAAATATATGTTCAAAAACCTGAGTATCACATTTCTCAGATATATCTTATTTAATCAGAGCGTTTGAGTGATACCCAATAAGACATCTGATACCCTTGAATTGTAAGCATTCAAGTCCATCAGGAACATCCAGAGGTTTGTGGTTATTTGTAGATCATATATCACTTCTTCAGTTTTACTGTTCTATTATCCAACTATTTCAAGAAAGAAAGGCATTTTGTTTAGAACCCAGCCACAGCAGAAACTCAAGAGTTGCTCTAGTCACCTTTAGCTACACCCTGGTCTATTTTTCCTGTCCTAACACTTTTTCACCAAAACAGATGCCTCCAACACAAAAGCAGATGTATTGTCTCCTAAGGTCCCAAGGACGGGAGACCTCTGTCCTTATGCCTAAGTAAAAAGCTACTCACTATAAAAACTGCCTTTGAGAACTAGAGCATAGGCCAATCACCCCAAAATCATAATGTCTGATATCTGTACCCTGGAAAAACTGTGGAAAGGCAAATAAACAAATATAATAATGCATACATACATGCATAAAACTGAAAATAAATAAATCCACACTGTGGTAGACTACAATGAGTCCCCTCTTTCAAAGAGTTGAGTTTTATAATCATTATTTCTATTAGACAGCCAGAAATGTCAGGCTAATACTCTCCCCTATGTTAATCTTCCTCTAGTTCTGAGTTTCTAAGAAAGTGAACCTAAATCAACTTAAGTCTGGATCCACGGCACACCTCCCAACTTCAATTGGAATTATTGGGCCAGATTAGGAGGAAATAATAGGTAAGTATCTATAAGCAGCAAAGTCCACTGATATTTCACAGCTGCCCTGGCAATGCCTTAGAAAATTTACATTTTCTAAGAAGCAGACCAGTGGTTCACCAAGACCAAGTCAAGACTCTTGAACATAGTCTTCTAGAATTTTTATTAGCCTCTATCTGGCCATAGCCTCAGTACAATGCTACCTATAGAGCATGTGTCCAGATCCTAGATAAGGACATGTTGCCTGGGTGTCTTAACAGACAAGTGTACCCATTTCCAACCCCAAGTTCATTAGAAGACAATTATTCAAAAATTATAATAGATACACAGTCTTTCAAAATGACAGCACAATTCTGGCAGTGGTAGAAACTTTCTTTGCCTACACTAGACTCATATCTGCCACTATCTTGTTCATCAAGGGGGTAATACAGCCCACAGCTTGACAATGTAGCAATTACAATTTGTAGGCAGGTTCTTCAAAGTTCTCCATCCAGACTCACATAGTCTGTACATTGTTCACAGAACAAGAGCTAAAGCACATGAAACAGATGTCGATTTTTCCATCTCATACAGCCAGAACAACTAGACTACTTACAACAAGTTGTTTCATTTTTCACTACTTCTTATACATCACCACGACACTGGCTTCCATTCTATTGTCTCTTCTTTTTTTTCATTTAATTTTTAAAATTATACTTTAATTCTCAGGTATATGTGCAGAATGTGAAGATTTGTTACATAGGTATACATGTGCCATGGTGGTTTGCTGCACCCATCAACCCATCATCTTCATTAGATATTTCTCCTAATGCTATCCCTCCCTCGCACCCCACATCCCGACAGGTCCCAGTGTGTGATGTTCCCCTCCCTGTATCCATGTGTTCTCATTGTTTAACTCCCACTTGAGAACATGTGGTGTTTGGTTTATGTTCCTGTGATAGTTTGCTAAGAATGATGGTTTCCAGCTTCATCCATGTCCCTGCAAAGGACATGAATAAGAGAGGACACGAACAAATGGAAAAACACTCCATACTCATGGATAGGAAGAATCAATATTGTGAAAATGGCCATACTGCCCAAAGCAATTTATAGATTCAATGCTATCCCCATCAAGCTACTATTGACTTTCTTCACAGAACTGGAAAAAACTACTTCAAATTTCATATGGAACCAAAAAGAGCCCGAATAGCCAAGACAATCCTAAGCAAAAAGAACAAAGCTGGAGGCATCATGCTACCTGACTTCAAACTATACTATAATGGAACAGAACAGAGGCCTCAGAAATAACGCCACACATCTACAGCCATCTCATCTTTGAAAAACCTGACCAAAACAAGCAATAGGGAAAGGATTTCCCATTTAATAAATGACTTTTTCTATACTCAGATTCATACATGTTTTCCTTTAGAGTTTCTGGACTTTAGTGTTCTGATAGGTCCTTATACCTTCCAAATCATAAGTAAATTCACTAATATAGCCTTCATGACTTCACTTTTTAATGTTTAAATCTTTTATCTATTAGAAATTTATTTTTCTAAGATGAGTGAAAAACTCAGTTTTACTTTTATCCAGCCAGGAGGCTCTCTCCTAATTCTATTACTTAAATACTTTAACCAGTGATTTTAAATGCCACCTTTATCATAATCACTACATATGTATTTGGATCTACTTATTGACCCTCACCTACATAACACAATAACTCTATCTATTCATATGCCCTTATTTTAGCCTTTTAACTATTGCAGCTTCATGACATATTTTGAAATCTGGTAGCTATAACTTCCCTTGTCATTCATTACCTTCTTTACCTAATTATATACCAATGTTTATTTTTTTCCATATAAATTGTAATGTTATCCAGTTATATCAACTTATACAAATATCGATTAAAAATTTTAATCTGAGTTGAATTAAGTGTATGGATGGATAAAGACTGAAGTGACTTTAAGACACTGAATATTTCATCTATAAACATGGTATGTTTTTCCATTTTAAAAATTCTTCTATTAAATATTTTAGTAAACTGTAAACATTTTCTTCATATTGAGTCTGTAAATTTTTAAGATATATCTTATGTTTTTATACATATTATAGTATTTTCTAACTCATAATTTCATAGATAGGAAAGCTCTTAAGCTTTGAATATTAATTTTATAAATTGTTGATTTGCTGAATTATATTATTTTTAGTTTTTAAAATGAGGAATCTTGGGTTTCTTCAGTATTGAATAATAAGGTATCTGCTTTCATCTTTCATTTAGGCCCGTTATTTCTTTCTTGTGTCTAATTGCATTGATTTGCTTTTTTTCACTAACACTGGTATCTTGATTGATTCTTATGGAATGAATATTCTTATCTTTTTAAAACCTTAATGGCAATTCTTGTAGATATCACCACTAAATATGATGATACCTTTTAGTTTGAGGGTTGTCTGTTCTTTAAAAACACCATTTTAATGAAAAGAAAATTTTTCTCTAATTTTGCTAATTTTCACTTGTTAGCTTCTTTTTAAATTGGGAAGGGAAGCTGAACTTGGTTGAATTTTATGGGAGATATTTGTTGGTTTTTATCATTGTGTATTAGTTTTCTCAGGTTGCTGTAACAAAGTACCACAAACTAGATGGCTTAAAAACAACAGAAACTTATTATCTTACAGTTCTTAAGGCGAAAAGTCCAAAATTACGGTGTCAGCAGAGTTGGTTCCTTCTGAGGGTTCCAATGGAGACTCACTCCATGCCTCTCTCTTAGCATTTGGTGATGGTCAGCAATCTTTGGTGTTCCTTGTCTTGTAGACACATCATTCCTTCTTTGCATGACATTAGCCCCATGTCTCCGTGTTTCCACATTTCCATCTTCTTATAAAGTTACTAATCATATTGGATTAGGGACCCAACCTGCTCCACTATGACCTCATCTTAACTAATTACACCCCAAATCACCCTATTTCCGGAAGTCTTAGGTGTTAGGACTTGAGTGACTATACCACTGTGATGCTGTTTACCTTGTTACTATATTCTCTGTATTTCTGGTAGTTAGGTCTTGGGGCTTGACAAAATTCAGGTTCAAT